AGGCGCTATACAAGTGCGGGTCATTTATCATTTACACACAGCATTGAACATTTCATCCACACTACTGACCCACCCGTCTTTGCATGCCCACACCACCTTGACACAGCTAAGCTGGCTGTTGCACCTAAAGAGTTTGCCAACGTGGAGCGTTTGGGCATTGTGCGTCGCTCTAACAGTCCGTGGGCTTCCCCATTGCACATGGTGCTGAAGACTGATGGACAGTGTCGACCCTGTGTGGATTTCCGCCGCCTAAACGGAGTCACTGAGAGTGACCAGTACCTAATACCCCACATTGAGGACTTTTCAGTACACCTTGCTGGAACCTCCATCTTTTCGAAGGTAGACTTGGTGCGCGGTTATCATCAGGACATAGGAGAAACCGGACGCCAACTCAACACATGAACAATAGAACATAGAAAGGAATGTGAGAAAGAAACAAGTCGAAGACACACAAGAGCAGCAAAACAAGAAGCAGAAAGCACAATAAAGAAGTCAGCCGTAACAGATCACTGCGCAAGAGAAAACCACATAATGGACTGGGACAACACACGGATCATAAACACCGAACAACAGAAATACAAAAGATGGATAAAGGAAGCCATAGAGATAAGGAGACGTGGATGTGGGGCTATGAACAGAGACAATAGAGTCCACACGTTGGACCGCGCATGGGACTGCATCGTCGGGGAGGGGAGAGCGGGCAGCAGAGGGTGACAACGTCCTCTGCTGCCCGCGGATAAACGGAGTAGGAAGTGACGCCACCATCAGCATCAGCTCTGAGGATGTTTGCAGCTGCGAACGAAACTGTCAGCAGCAAGGTAAAGAGAAACCTTTCCTGTGTTTTAAAAAAGAACCAACAATGCAATAATCAATAAATGATGAGTAAGAATCTGCTTCTAGACCTGCAGAAAGAGAGAGAGAAAAAAGGGGGACACACAAAAATACAACAAGACCAAAACATCACTGCACCAACAACACAAGGATATACAAAAGTAACTATTTTTGCTGGGAAACACATGGCAATAATTCATATTGCATTTAGTGCCAACCACAGCCACCACAAAGGTGATGTGTTGAAAATGCCCAAGTCCTTATGAGACCACCATGTGAGCACCTGTGTGTGAACACGCGCTTGTGTGTGCAAGGTTTCTCTATAGGAGTGTCCTATAGTTACTGTGTGGGTCCACAGACCTGCCCCCAAAGACATATGGAAGAGGGGAGAGTTCCAAGCCCCAGAGATCCATGGGTCTCCCCAAAGTGCAGGAATGCCAGAGAGACAGCTGCTGGAGAAGACCCAACCACCCTCCCTGGGGCCACAACCAGCAGCGGCCGGAGCCCAGGGAGATAGCAACAGCAAGCCCCTAGGCCCCAAGCTGGCCAACCTTGGAACAGAGCGGCCCGGGACCTGAGGGCGACCAACGCCGTCTGGGACCCAAAAGAGCCCAGGGATCCAGGCCCCAGCAGGCAGCCTCCGGGAGTGACCTGACAGATCCCAAAAATGATCCTGCCCCCGACATGGGAGCTGCAGATATCCGGCTGACCGAGGCACCACCCACAAGCAGAAAAAGTGGCAAGCGGAGGGTAGGCGAAAATTTTGTTGCACCATAAGACGTCCCAGGAGAGGGGAGGAGTGTAGGCCCTTTATTTATTTTTATTTATTTATTCTTTATTTAACCAGTAAAGTCCCACTGAGATTAAAAACCTAATTTTCAAGGGAATCCTAGCCAAGAGGCAGCAAAAGTTACAGTTACAAATTTTTCAGCTCCACAGACTTGTTGTGCACAAAATTACAGAAGACAGTTACAACACAGAGAATCCATCTCAAGGGTTCTTAGTTTGGATTTAAATGTAGTCAGGGAGATAAACTCAGTTAACTTCCAGTTTTCTGGCAGCCTGCTCCATGCAGAAGGAGCAGAGTGAACGAAAGCCCTGTTGCCCAGTTTCATGTGAGCAAATGGAACACAAAGTATAAATTGATTATTTGTTTGCTATGACTGTGAGAAGTTACACTTCTCCGTGAGATTAAGTTACTGATTTAGGTGGGTAGTAATCCAAGCATGGCCTTATAAAAGAAGGTGTATCAATGTCCCAACCTCCTGGTGGACAAAGAAGGCCATCCCACTCGAGAATAAAATTCACAATGATGGGTCAGTAGTATACAGTTCTAAAGTCCTAAAGGGGGGGGGGGGGGGGGGGGGGGACAGCACAGACAGCTTATGCCACCACAAAACCCCGCTTACCCCAAGAACCCTCAGTGTCTAGGTGCAGCTTAAACTTGGAAGTGGGCACTGACACTTGGGGTGACACTGAGAAGTCCCCTTTAGGGAGGCATCTCCGCCACTGGCCCCAATAGGCACCCCCGTTTCCAAAATCTACCCGGGGCATGAAGACCTCAGGTGGTCAACCACCAAAATATTAACAGTATCAATAACAGCGTGGTCATTCCTCTGACCAACCTCCTCACTTATGGTGATATAATAAGTGACGCCACATTTACAACACCAAATGAAGTAATAACTAAGAAACACAACCCCCCATAATAAACACACATAACCCCCCCCCCCCCCCCCCCCCCCAAAAAAAAAAATCTAAAAACATGACTACCCACATGGATTTTTTTCCAATGGATCCACAAATATTAAGAAAAAAACACTTGTCTGTTTATCAGACACACATTAAGTTGATGTAACAATGAATAAAACAATATGGAAATATAAAATAATAAATTAGTAATTTTTTAGTCACTCTTTCGATTTAAGTTGTTAATTTATTTAAGCTATGCTTACAAAAAGTAGAAATTGTTTGAATTAATTAAAAAGTTTGAGTTCTATGTACTTAAAACAAGGAAAAAGCTGAACCAACTCAACACATTTGAGTTCTAAAACTATTTTAAAATTATGAGTTTCTGCTCAATATATTTGATTATTTTCAACATTTGGGTTTACAGTGTAGTTGGAGATGGTCTTCTAGCCTTTACGCAGACTAGATGCAGTCTGTTGTTGTTTTTTTTTTTTTTTTACTTAGGAGACTTGTTAGAGAGAAATAGTTAGGAGACTTAACTGGCACAATGAACTGAACTGACAGGTGGGTATAATTGGAACGTTTGCTTTAAAGTGCCTTGAGACGACTCTTGTGAACTGACGTTATATAAATTAATTGAACTGAATTGGATCAGATGGTCTTCCAGCCTTCAGCTGATTGGATATGTTCTTCTAGCATTTCCCTTTAACCTGCTGGTCAATAAAAATCTGTAATCTCCTGAGACAACTGTGTCCTCAGCTTTCAGTGATCCATGTCCATGTATGGTACACACCCTGATACCAGACAGCCCTGTGACTACCTTTAACCCTTTGAACATGCAGACTGACTGATGCCCAGACTGAACACACCTGTGATGCAGATAATACACCTGAGTTTAAGGCTATGGTCTATTATTTTTTTTAGTATTTTTGAGGGGAAATAAACATTTTTCCTGCTCAGTTTTTATTGTTCTGATAAACTAAAATACAAATATTTTCATTCATTTCATTCAGTAATTTGTGACATAATTATCCCTTTTGCCAGTTTCAAGTTATTCGTTATTTTTCATTATTTTACAGAAGGGTACCAGTAATCTTATCCACCTTCGTATTTCCTCCTTTCCAAGGCTTTTGTACAGCTGTTGTTTATTATTAGATTTCCTGCCCCGTGTTGCATAAGGGGGTCCATGGACATGTGGCAATAGGACAGACTGAGTACTTACAGGATAAGAAGTTGAGAGTAGCAATGTTTAGAAATTCAGGTATTGATCATATAAGTCATGCATTGAGCAAGGCAGGTAAACCAGAGTACAATGATTAATCTTGCACTTGGTAACCCTACCGTTGGCTTTCACTGACCTGAGTGAAACTGAGAGGGACAGGCAGTTGTTAGACCAGCAACAGAGGGGTTAATAATACAAATGTTTAAAACATGTGTGTACCACGTTCTAAACCTGAGTAGAACAGTTGGTTTAAGTGTTTATCAGAAGATAGCATCCATAGAAATGTTTCATGTTAAAGATAAAAATCCCTCCGTTTCTTCAAATCACATGAAGCCACTGAGACAAAGTCCACCGCTGATAGAACAACAAACAACAGGACAGAGCACACAACTCTTTGACCTATAAATCGTCACACACATGCACACACACATACACGTGCACGCTCCCACACACACACACACACACATGCAGTCCTTTTAATAATCCCTAAAACCAGATGGTTTTCCTTTGACGGCTGTATTGTGTGCTGTTACTGTGACCCGGTTTTAAGATTGGCATTTAAACTTCAGAACCTTTGATTGAATATTTTTGCATTTCAGAGAGCTGATTGCATCAAGTCTGTCTTCTGTTCTGTTTACTCTTGCTTGTTGTTCTTGGCAGCGTTTTGAAACGACTGCGAGGGAAACCAGTGTGGCTTTCTGATCAACGGGAATAATTAAAATCTTTTCTCTGAGGTGGTGTGGAAACAGTTTTATAAACCTTCTAAACAACCGTTAGTGTTTCATTTCCCCGTTTCTTCTATCTGCATTCCTCTAGCACCTCTGCTGATTGATTAACATCTATGAAATGTTTTAGGAGGAGCTGGTCCAAGAAGCTGGGGAGAGGGAAGTCTGGGCCTCTCGACTTAGGCTACTGCCCCTGCGACCCGACTCTGGATAAGCGGATGAAAATGGATGGATGTTTTAAAATCTGAGCTGTGTCTCCACACAGCATGATTTCATTTTCTATATTCATATAGACATGCGCTGTTCATTCAGGCCACTATGAAAGAAAATAATATTTTATGACATTTTTAAAGGAATAAATCTGTCAGAAGGTGAAGCCATTTGTGAAGCATGTGTGTGAGCCTGTGGTCTGCTCTGCTGACACGTGTGATGGCTGATCTCACAGCGGGTGACCCTTGAACTCTCAGTCCAGTCCTCCTGCTGAGAGAGACGTCTCAGGGGTGAGGTCCACCTCCACGGAGACATATCCCTCACTGCTCCACCTCCCACCCCCCTCGCACAGGCTCGTCCCTCAGCAGAGCACTATAAAAACTCTGCTTGTGCAGAAGTAGTTCAGTCTCGACCAACTCCACCAGGTAAGACACGAAACTTCAGAGGACAGGACTGGATCTTAGGCTTTAAAAAATCCCTTCCGGACGAGTGCATGTTAGGTGCATGCTGGAAATGTTGTACAGTTGAAAGAAAACAAACTGTAATCGGTTTTTATTTGTAACTCTGAAACCTTGTGCTTATAATCTGCAATTTCAAATTTAAATAGTTTAATCCAGAAGAGATTTAAAGATGATGCTGCAGTAGTAAAATCTTAAATGTCTCTAGACATGCCTCTGGACAGGGACTGTCTCGCAGCCAGCTGCTGCCTTTTACAGATTATGAAACAGTTCAGATCCCCTCATCCTTATCTGGTTTACTAATCGGCTCGTATTACATGTACTGTCAGTAGACAGGGACAGCTCCTTTTAGAGAGAAGTCTGTTGTAAAATATTCTTACCTTTAGGTCTGCAAACCTCTGTTAGATGAGGGGTGAGATTGGGGCACTGCTGTTTTTAAATCGGGTTAATTTCTACTTGTGCTTTCTAAACTTTTTCATTAAAACTCCCTCAACTGTCTTTCCTCCAGACCTCCATCATGAAGTTTGTGGCACTTGTCCTTCTCCTGGCTGTCGGTGAGTTTGGAACCCATGTACTGTAATATATTTAAACTATGGGAGATTTTACGTATTGTTTTAATCTTCCACCTAAACCCCAGGCTCTCAGGCCGCCTCCCTGCAGGCTGATGCTCCGTCCAGCCTGGCCCACGCCCGCGCTGTTGCGGATGTCTACATCAATCAGGCAAAGGAAAGTGCCATCAAAGCTCTCGACCATCTTGATGACACCACATTCCAGGAACATAAGTAAGCCATCCATAAGTTTGGTCCAACCTTCTTTCATTCTTGCAGACTGGTGAACCTCACCACCTCTACTCTTTCTCAGGGCGGCCCTGACTCAACATCTGAACAACATGCATGAGCATCTAAAGGCCTTGCAGGCCCGTGTTTCACCTGTTACTGACAGCGTGGTAGGTACACTGGCTGATGCCACTGGTGACCTGCGTGCCGCTATAGCGAGTGACATTGAGGCATTGAAAACCGAGCTGGAGCCCAAGCGCGCTAAGCTGAGAGAGGTGCTGCAGAGGCACATGGAAGACTACCGCACCCAGCTGGAGCCCATCATCAAAGAGTACAGTGACAAACACAACGCTGAGATGGACGCCCTGAGGGTAAAGCTGGAGCCCATTGTGGCAGAACTGCGTAACAAGATTGATACCAACGTTGAAGAAACCAAAGCTGCCCTGGTGCCTATCGTTGAGTCTGTGCGCACCAAGGTGGGTGAGCGCGTGGAGAACCTGAGGCAGTTGGCTGCCCCTTATGTTGAAGAGTACAAGGAGCAGCTGACAAAGGCCTATAGCCAGGCACAATCCGGGGGTGATCAGATCCAGGCTCTGAGGGAGAAGATAAGTCCTCATTTTGAAGAAATCAAGGAAAAGCTTGCAGCCATTTCTGCAGTCATCATGGAATCCTTCAACAAACAATAAACCCTCTCTGTTTGTCTTTGACTAATTTCACCTGCTCATCTGTCCAAGAGCTTTCCCATCTCTCTCTCCAACCTTGCTTCTCTTTCAAACAGATCACCTCACAAATAAAGCTAGTGCCTAACTTATGAACCAAAATGGTGAGACTGTCTTTTCTGTCCAAGAAGTCAACTTACTTCATGCTCATGCTCAAGCAAGCACAGGCAGTCATGCACACAGAGACAGACAAACCCAGCATGCACATGCTCTACGCTTCACATGCCAACTGCTAGCCTTTCATGTATGTACTGTATGTGAATTACAAGTGCTAAAATCTCTGTGTAATCTTGATGACTGTGATTTGTTGAAAACAGCTCAATAAACATCTGACTGTTTTTACAACAGCTCTCTCTGGAACTCTATCTAGTAAATATAATTTTACTTACCGAAAAAAATGAAGTGGAGACTCCTTGGACGCTCTATTAGTGCAATTAATGCCACAGCAAGTCATTTTGTCCAACAATTGCACAAATAATATCCAAAAAGAACGCACAAACGCTACAACTAATGGTCTAAGTTGAGAGACCGAAAATGACAGAAGTTTTCAGGCAAGACCGAGGCTCTGCTGAGGCCTTTCCACGGAGCTAGCTCTGTGGTCACGTGGGTCTGATGCTCATTAATTATACAGAATTTTAGGCTTTTAATACACTTAAACAGAAGAGTGAGAAAAAATTCACCCCCCTCAGAGTTGTCATGAGTGTAAACTAGATCATTTAAACCAAAAACATGTTTTGGTACCAGGCTGTAAACATGTTTATTTCTGCTGTGAAATTGGTATTTTTAACATGGGAGTCAATGAGGATTTGCTCACTTCTGACACCAGCCCCTAGTGGATGATGGTGGAACTGCAATTTATTTCACTTCCGCATTGGACTCAATTTCTGTCCCGCATTGTGGGGGCTTGGTTTAAACCAACTAATCACCATGCAGCTCATTAGCATATTCATGTCCTGGCCAAGTGGGAGGGGCAAGCAGCTCTTTTCACAGCAAGGCTGATTTAGGGGGTATAGAATGGCCTGTATCAGGACTCCTGGGACAGATGAAAGCCAAAAGAAAGTGTATTATGCTTCTTAGAGATTCAAAACAATGTTTTAGATTGCCGATAAACTGCACTCTTTGTCCCCTTTAAATTACCAACACACACACACACACACACACACACACACACACACACACACACACACACACACACACACACACACACACATATGTGTGTGTGTGTGTGTATATATATGTATATATATATACAGTATATATATATATATATATATATATATATATATATATATATATACATACCGTAAATCCTCTAATATTAGCGTGTATTCAATTAACAGCCAGGTATCATATTTTGGCCGGTGTCGGAGTCGGCGGAGGTGAATAATGGACGTTTTTTTTATTGTGGCCGGGTGGAATGTGGTAACAAGCAAGTACGGGGGGCAGTTGTGTCATCTGTCTCACTTTTGATTTGCCAGTGATAGACCGCGAGGGTAACTTTGTGCAGAGACGAAGAGGAGGCGAAAATTTGATATCAAGTTCAAAGAGAACGTGCTGATTATGCTGCAGAACACTCTGGGGAGCAGTAGCAGGGGTTGTATGAACTAGTCACTAGTCGACTTCACCGCTCTATAGTGACTTGTTATGCCTGTCATCGACTAGTCGCTGTCACGTGATAATGACCGGCAAGATGCAGTCCACCGAAAAGACAGCAGCCTGCTGTCAGCAGGTGACAAGCTCCTGCACGTCGGGAGGTAACACGCTGTGCCAGAGCGTCGGTACTGACGCCTGCCGTAAAACGGACATTTAACCAAATTGTGACCTTTTCCCTTTTGCAATTTAACCTTTCCCTCACCCCCATCCTAACCTTAACCAGCTTGCGCATGCAAAGCTCTGATTGTTGACGCGCTCCAGACATCTGCGTCCTGAGCACGGCCACAGTAACATTATCAAATCAGGTGTCCCCACCTCAAAAACTAATTTAACACGCGATCGTTCATGTCGGCTCATTTCCTTTAATGTTTTCTGTCTTTTATTCTTTTATTTGTGCCTGATGCGTTTCGCTGCTGTGGATCGGGGCGCATCACCTGTTTTATCCTCGGTGACGCACCTAACTGATGCGGCCGGCGAGCACTCCGCTGTTTTAGGAGTCTGTAGATCTTTTAGAACTGCAGTTCAAAGGTAACTCATAAGGTGAATATATATGAACCCAGGTAGCAGTTTCTCTTTAGGATTGAGGGGAGATGCAGAAAGATAATAAACAGACAGGACAGAAAAATAGTCAAATAAAAACAAGTTAGTTTTTGTACCTGCTGGTTGCAACAAACAGACACCACTGAAGGTAATCAGAAGTGAGGAACAGAAAATTAAATAATTATTTTAATGTTTAGAGCAGCAGGAACTCTGAGAGGCTGCAGGCGCATCAGTGAGTTTGCGGCCGCTGCGCAGGGGGAGGGGGGAGAAGGCTGAAGCAGAAACTACAGTTGTTAAAACAAATGTGTTTAACTTTGAAAATGTGGGCGCAATTTTAATTGTCAAAAACTCCAGCGAACCATTAGTTCATTTTGCTCAAATAGAAATTGAGGCCTGCCTCTGATTCTGGTTCTCCTTCCAATAAAGGCCTGGAGCTTGATGAGCTTGAGTCAAATACAGGCCCGGGCCTGTATTAGAGGATTTACGATATATATATATATATATATATATATATATATATATATATATATATTTCTTTATTTATTTATCAGGTCGTGCTCGATTTTTTTCCCATCATTCTGACCACAGGGTTAACAAAAGTAGTCATGAGCAGCTTTTTCCATCAACTTCATTTTTAAAATAATAATTAAAATTCAACACCATTACAGTTTCATTAACTTTTGTTATTTAGAGTGCCCCAGTAAACAATGCAATTGAACCATTCCACTTGTGGCCAGAACCACTAGCAGAGCAAATCAGAGTTGTCTGGGGGCGGAGCAAATGACCGGGCCCTTTAAACCCAAATAATAAAGGTCATGATAACATGGTTTTAGCAGTGGCGGCCCATGAATTTGGTAGCTGGGCCTTTACTACCCAGCTCCTACCTAGCTACTGAGCTAATATGATGTTACAACATTGTCGGACTGGCTAGCTGTGAATTCTGGAGAAGAACGGCCGATGTTGGCCTTACCCCTCTTGTCGGAGATCCCCGGGCAGCAGAAACGTCCAGCCTCCCACCCAGTGCTTTGCGTGGTCCTGTATGGTCACTTCTTATTTTCAGGCTTTTCTAGTCATTTATTAGTATATATTTCAGAGATTTCTGATATATCTATCTGTGCTCAAACATCAACCATCCACAGTCCACCCAGCGCCGCCCCTCCCGACATGCCAGATTCGCGCTCCACGAGGGGCCAGCTTTTACGGTCAAGGTGCGTCACTGCAGTGAGGCGCACTGTGCGTAAAGCACCTTCAGTCCATGCACAGGAGTGAAAAAATGAGACAAATAATGCGACACGGTGCTCGTTCCCAACTGATAGCAGCAGCATCTGACCAACCAGAATGCGTCGAAAGGCAGGCATTTATGGAGCTAGATAGTTGGCACCCAAAATGAAATATGAAGAAAGAAAAAGTCAAAACAAGAGGATTGTGCTTTATTTGAAAGTGGGCATGTTGGAGAAAAAGTAAAAATAAATTTTAAAAGTTTGTGATTGCAAACATCCCAGCAGGTATGTTGTACATCCCAGGTACAACATATCAGCAGATCATGAGACAGAAGAGAGGATAAATCTGTCTGGATGTGGACTCACTAGTTATGTTTTATGCTAAGAAAAAGAGAGAAGACTTTGTTCGGGAGGTTTCATTCAGATTTTTGCTCTTTATATACACTTGTCATCATGCAGGAGCTGATAGTTTATGCAGTGCACCGACAGAGGAGGGGAATGAGAGAGGCAGTGACAGGATGCTGTGTAATTTAGAGATTACGTATGGATGTTTGTTCAGTTAGTTAATAATTAAATATTAAGAAAGGCATTTGGGTCATGACCTGAGGCAACTTTTTGACCCACGACATGCAGAATCACGGGTGGAGACAAGGGTAAAGTTAAACAAATATTATAAAAAAATGTAACTCAGGGCACTGCTCGTCTGGAGGCAGGTTAATCCATGAAGGTCTAAAAAACAAAGAAGAGCCAGAATACAAGAGGCGCAGATGGAATTGATGTTTATTTTAGTTTGTTTGCTTATGGTTTCTTACAGGTGAATATCTACAAGGGAGAGGCAGTCTTGGTCTGAGTATGTCAGCGGGGGGTTCCAGAGGTGTGGGAGGACGCAGAGCACAGAAGGATCCAGGAAGGATCAGGAGTAAGCAGGTGGATGGCGGAGTGGGCAGCCAGGGGAAGTACAGCGTGACAAGGAGCTAGAATTGAGAGCTGGAGTGATGTGGATGAAGAAGATGGTCATGGGTAAACCTGAAGAAGCACAGAGTGGAATTAGCGTCAGTGGATCTTGAAGTCACAAGAAACACAGGAGATCTAAGACAAAGGAATAAACACAAGTGGACACGAGAACTAGACATGTCTAGCACTCAAAAACTTAGTTTGGCTAGAGATACCCAGCGTGAGTAATCATCCAGCATGGCACTGCCACACTGTTCCTTAGCTCCCCTGGGCAGTGATTGTGAAATTAGCGTCAACTGGACCCGCTTTCCAGGAACACCCAATTGCAAGTAGAGGACTCAGATTCCCCTGAGACTGCCAAGACTGCCTCTCCCCTCAGACTCCGAAGAACAGCAGACAGAGAACACAAACAAACAGTTTCAACCCTCTACACTACAGCCGCAGTTCATGATTGATTAATCTGAACCTCCCCCCTACAACCTGTGGGTGGATCAAAGATTTCCTCACCAATCGCCCACAGGCTGTCAGGTTTGGTGACAAGCGGTCATCCACTCTGATGCTCAGCACTGGTTCCCCTCAGGGCTGTGTGCTAAGCTCCCTGCTGTTCACCATCTACACCCATGACTGCATTCCTATTCATCGCTCTAATAAGATCATTAAGTTTGCAGATGACACCACTCTTGTAGGTCTTATCCATAACAACGATGACGCAGCATACAGAGATGAGGTTTGCCATTCATCAGAATGGTGTGATGATCATAATCTCTCTCTTAACATCAAGAAGACCAAGGAGATGGTTATTGACTTCCGAAGAAGTAAGGATGCCCCCCGCCCTCTCTGCATTAAAGGAGCTGAGGTGGAGAGCGTTCCCTCCTTTAAGTTTCTCGGGATTTACATCTCTGAGGATCTGTCATGGACAATCAATACCACTGCCTTGGTCAAAAAAGCACAACAGCGGCTGCACTTCCTGAGAGTCCTGAAGTGGAATAGGCTGCAGACCAACCTCTTTGTGTCTTTTTATCGAGCAATCATTGAGAGAGTGATGACTTACGCTATCCCTGTGTGGTACGCGGGGTGCACAGTAGCTGATAAAAACAGATACCAGAGGATCATCAGAGCGGCGGAAAAGGTGATTGGGTGCACCCTTCCCTCCTTGGACATTATCGCCCTGCAGAGGTGTCTCACTAGAGCAAGGACCATCTCCAGGGACATTTACCACCCAAACAACTACCTTTTTGCCATGCTGCCCTCTGGGAAAAGGTTCAGATCCCTCAGCTGCAGGACCGACAGACTGAGGAAAAGTTTCTTTCCCTGGGCTGTTAGAACCCTGAATGGACAGAAAAATCAACTCTATTGATATTATTTATTGTATTTTGTAATGTTTTTGTTTTTATTGCATGGTGCATATTGTACTTGTTTTAGCTATTTTTCTTAGTATTTTTAGCGGATGCCTAATGTGGAGCTCTAGGAAATTTCGTTGAATGGACAATCATTTAATGACAATAAAGGATATCTATCTATCTATCTATCTATCTATCTATCTATCTATCTATCTATCTATCTATCTATCTATCTATCTATCTATCTATCTATCTATCTATCTATCTATCTATCTATCTATCTATCTATCATCCATCTATCTATCTATCTATCTATCATCTATCTATCATCTATCTATCTATCTATCTATCTATCTATCTATCTATCTATCTATTTATCTATCTATCTATCTATCTATCATCTATCTATCTATCTATCTATCTATCTATCTATCTATCTATCTATCTATCTATCTATCTATCTATCTATCTATCTATCTATCTATCTATCATCTATCTATCATCTATCTATCTATCTATCTATCTATCTATCTATCTATCTATCTATCTATCTATCTATCATCTATCTATCATCTATCTATCTATCTATCTATCTATCTATCTATCTATCTATCTATCTATCTATCTATCTATCTATCTATCATCTATCTATCTATCTATCTATCTATCTATCTATCTATCTATCTATCTATCTATCTATCTATCTATCTATCTATCTATCTATCTATCATCTATCTATCTATCTATCTATCTATCTATCTTCTATCTATCTATCTATCTATCTATCTATCTATCTATCTATCTATCTATCTATCTATCTATCTATCATCTATCTATCTATTATCTATCTATCTATCTATCTATCTATCTATCTATCATCTATCTATCTATCTATCTATCTATCTATCTATCTATCTATCTATCTATCTATCTATCATCTATCTATCTATCTATCTATCTATCTATCTATCTATCTATCTATCATCTATCTATCTATCTATCTATCTATCATCTATCTATCTATCTATCTATCTATCTATCTATCTATCTATCTATCTATCTATCTATCTATCTATCATCTATCTATCATCTATCTATCTATCTATCATCTATCTATCTATCATCTATCTATCTATCTATCTATCTATCATCTATCTATCTATCTATCTATCTATCTATCTATCTATCTATCTATCTATCTATCTATCTATCTATCTATCTATCTATCTATCTATCTATCATCTATCTATCTATCTATCTATCTATCTATCTATCTATCTATCTATCTATCTATCTATCTATCTATCTATCTATCTATCTATCTATCTATCTATCTATCTATCTATCAATCTATCTATCTATCTATCTATCTTCTATCTATCTATCTATCTATCTATCTATCTATCTATCTATCTATCTATCTATCTATCTATCTATCATCTATCTATCATCTATCTATCTATCTATCTATCTATCTATCTATCTATCTATCTATCTATCTATCTATCTATCTATCTATCTATCTATCTATCTATCTATCTATCTATCTATCTATCTATCTATCTATCTGTCTATCTATCTATCTATCATCTATCTATCTATCTATCTATCTATCTATCATCTATCTATCTATCTATCAACAAAAAATGTATTCATTCATTTGGTTTTACGTGTAAATAAAGTTAATAACAAAGTTGCTAATTATTTATAGTCTATGCCAATAACTTTGTCATAAAGCTGTCTCTGCGTTTTAGTTCCATCAGTAAGTCCTTTTCTACGGCCACAGAGGCTAGTCACCTCTGGCTGAGAAAAACAAGCTAGCGATGGAGTTTGGCAGCCTCTTGTAATGATGTCAGCTTCAATGTCTTCTTCTCTGTTAGCTACCTAGTGTGCTATCTGTTGACAAGTGATGATGATGAAGTTAGTGGATGGCTGGTGACGAGTTTTACCCATAATGCACTAGGGGACCATTGTAGAGATCCACTTGTAAATTTGCAGGTAGCAACTATCAGCAGAGCCAACAGATGAGCTTATGAACGGTTCTGAAGGAAAACAGGCTTCAAAACAAGTGGTTGTTTTCTGCTTGGTCCTAGTGCTCAACCAGTGTCTGTGGTTGTTTTTGCATGTGTAGCGTCATGAATGGCCTCTAATTTGTGACAAAGGTCACATTTTCCCTGCTGGGTCAAGCTGGATCGAACTGTAACTTTGCCCCACAGATGAACCCGCCAGGAGCCGGGATGTCTGCTGAAACACCATCTTTATCTGCTGCTGTTCCGTCCCAAGATGAAGGACACTTCAAGATTTCACAATAATAATTTTTAAATAATAATTTTAATAAACTCTGACTTTATTACTGTTTATTGCAATCATCATAAATCTTAGTTCAGTATAAATGTATTTAATTACTGAAATGACTTATTATGCTTGGGGTAATAATGTAATTATTTATGATAACCCGTAATGTGTCTTCAGTAAACCAGAAGGTCATCTTGCACGTTAACCACCTCATGCAGAGGGTGAATCCAGGGTAAAGTTAAAACACCTCACATGCCTTTACTCATAACATCAAGCTTTCTGACGCTGAGAGGGCGTGTTCTGAGGGTTTTGTTAAAACCAAATCCCGCAGCTGTAAGTTCAGTTCTTGAACCATACCAGGAGACGAGGGACGGCCGCCCAAGTCTCTACTAAGCATTCTGTCACGCCGATAGTCTTGCTTCGAATAAACAAAACTGTAACCAGCTGACGCAAAACTCCTTCAGAGTTAAGCCAGACGCTCAACACCGTGTACCCTGCGACATCTTTGGACCAGAGAGTCGGTTCCACCCGGATGTTCTCTACCGGACCGAGTACCCTGAAGCTGACAACATCCTCCTTTGACCTCCGGATCCACACAGAGGGTCGTCTTGCTGGTTGAGGTAGCACACAGATGGTGTCTGATGCTGTTTTCTCTAAGTAACATCAGTTAACTGCAAAACAACTTTTCCACCCAGAACGCTTCCCTCGCTGAAAGAAACCTTCTGATATTCATTCACGCATCCAAAACCTCGCATTTCCTTTTAGTTTCCATTCAGTCACAGGTTTGCTTTTTAAAACAAGTTTTAATATCAAAGCTGTTAAAAATTGTCATTTCTAAATTGTCATTTCAAATTGTCATTTTTAAAAGTGTTAGTAATAAATTCTTAACTTTAAAAACCTGATTCTTCTTTGAAATGAAACACAGAATGGTGTATATTTTGGTTATTGAATAAGCAAAGATTCCTAACTTCGGATTCAATAAATAAACTTTTGCTATTAAATTTAATTATCTTAAATTAAACATTAACCTTTGAATTAAAAATAGACCAAGCTCGTTGGCATATCAACTTCTATCGAATATATTAATATCCTAGATATTTATATATGATAGAAGCTTCATTTGTTAACCTGTTTGATCTTTTCTCAGGATCTAACCAAACTGATAGCAAACAGTGTTAAATCCTAGTATGTAGTTAAACACGCTACACATTGTAAAAAGAGCAGGTGACAAAAATTGACTTTGGAACAAAAAGTATGTCCATGGTATAGCTATGCAAATTTTAAAGTGGTTCTCTCACATTTATCTAAAAACCTTCACCAATAACATGTTTTTGACCAAAAGATGCTATTGAACCATCCAGGTGTCAATCTCGCTGAACTGCCACACTTCCCTGCATCCCCCATTCATTAATGATAATTGACCCACACTTGTACAGT